CCCCGTCCATCATCTCACAACTCTCTCCTATCGCCCTGCACCCCCTACCCCACTCCCCCTATCCATACACCCCTTAACAGCTCCTTCTTACAAACGAGAAGGGGATTCTCGAGGCCAAGAGGTCAATGTGTTCGCCTCTCATTCAAAGGTCCCGGGTTCAAATCCGGGTAGCGACGAAAAAAATCTTCTTCTCTAAAATGTTCTCTTTTCACCTCCTTTCCTGCTCTCTAGTAATGTTCTGTCGTCTGCTTTCGTCTTCACTTTCTGCCCCCACCCCGTCACCTCATTTGCCCCCTCTTCTGGGCTCCTGACTCTTCCTGCAGCCTTTCTACTGCTTCTCCTTGGCTCCTTCTTACTGCTGTCTTTCAGCTGCACCCCTGATCTTCTGGTAGGAAAGATCTAAACCTAGCCTTCTCGGACAAGGGCGAAACATCTCGGAGATCCCGTGTGCAAGTTGCGCACTTACAGATCCCTTGGTGGTCTAAAATCGATAAGAGTAGACTTCCGTCGCCACCCGGGCAAAAATCAAAATTTTGTTCTAACTGAAAATGTTTGGTGTGTCCCGCGCGCTCATATGACCTTTAGCGGTTGCTGTTGTGATCGCTGTAAAACACTTACCAAAAAAATATACACCCCTTATCAACTCGTTCTTACAAACGAGACATCTTTCTGAAAGGACTGCAGCTTTTTCCACAGTACCTAAAGTGTACACCCTTACCCCCCTCCCTCCCCCCTTTCTCCCAACACATACAAAACAACACCACTCCCTCCTAATCCATCACCCATTTACAACTAGTTCTAACAAACGAGACACTGAGTACACAAGAGACAGAAGATCAAGACCGCAACTTCCCAGGTTCTCAAACTTCACAGAGAGCCATGATTACCTCCGACGTCCATATGCTTATTACCATGAATCACTCTCTCTCTCTCTCTCTCTCTCTCTCTCTCTCTCTCTCTCTCTCTCTCTCTCTCTCTCTCTCTCTCTCTCTCTCTCTCTCTCT